AAATGACTAACTAACATACAGTTTTGATTTTGGCGGAATGGTTCTGTTCTGAAAAAGCGGAGACTGGGCCATCATGCTCTTCTTTAATAAGCGACTGAGAAGAGCAGCATGCCCCTTTAATTGTTACCTGAAAAGATTAAGCAACAAGCATATGGTCAATACCCGAAGTTTAGCAACAAGCATGTTGCCCGTATCCAGATAACGTTGTTAGCATTTGAATAACAACAACAACCTTTAGTAGTGAAATTACATAATGTGCGGTAAGTAACAAGCATGTTACCGATACACCAGATAGCTTTAAGCAACAGCATGTCTGATACACAACTGACTTAACACAGCATGTTGGCAATAATGCAGTAATGCAATAATTTCACTTCTTTTGGACTGAAGCACTGGTTTATTTATAAAGACAGCAACTATTTAAAAATGTGTTTCGCCGATTTCGGAGACGTGAGCTCGCGATCAGCGGGCGCTCAGTGCTCATGTTTCCCTATGAGAGCAGCCTCAACTCGGCTAGTCCTTCTGACATTTGCTGCTGGCTCTGATGTCTCTGTAGTGGTTAAACATAAGATATAATTCGTTTTTGGTAAATCTAACAGGTAATCTTTGGTCTTTATTATATTAATCTATTAATATGTTAAAATGAAAATAAAAAGAGGCAATACTGTTTGATATAATATTTCGTTTCATTGTAATGTAGGCTATATACATTCCCTAAACTACATTTCTGCGGCTATTAATATGTTTAAATGAAAACGAAAGGAGGCAGTGGTGTTTGATATGATATTTCATCTTATTGTAAATACAGTGAGGAAAATTGCAGTAGCCAAGGCCAGCTGACTGACCTTATCAAGTATGTTGCTGTTTGCAGAATTACCGCACTTGCGTCGTCCCACCCGCGGGAGTTCACGCTTCACACTCCCGAGTCGAACTGGCAAAGTCCGAGGATGCAAGTCCGAAATTTGCGTACTTGGTATTGAGAAACGCCCGCAGTCCTACGTCACCAGACTATTTGCCTTTTCTTCACGGTACAGCCCGCTATGGAAATGCAGACAGCAACAGGTCTGGGGGGGAAGAAAAGTTCCTGGGACAAATTGTTCCAGGTAATTTCGGTGGAAAAGCGGCTTATAAAATGCTTTGAAAATGGAAATATAAAAATAACAAGGAATTTTAAAAAATTGTTACACGAGAAATGACATCAATTAGGCACCTGATGTGTGAATCTGTGTTTGATCTTGATCAGCTCATTTGGATCTGATTAGGGATGGGCGTATCGATCCGAAGTATCGATATATCGATACTGATGCGAGTATCGAAAGTATAGATACTCAAACAAAAAATATCGATACTAAGGTGTTTTTTATTTACCAGTGATTTTGTTTATTTAACAAAAAAATAATAATGCGTAATTGAATTGGACGAATAACCTTTGTTAGCGAGTAATTGTGTAGGAAACAATATGATGATGACGAAGAACACCGTGAAGAGTCTCTGCTGATGACAGGAACAGGCAGACGAGCTGAAAACATGAGTGAATAAAGAGAAATATGAACAAATCTAATCAACACCCTTATTTTTGGTTCAATGTGTTGAGTGAGTGTAAAAAAAGATTTAACATTTCAATATGTAAATGTTAAGAAATATTAAATATATAAATGTAAATATTAATATTTGAAGGGCAGACAGTTCTAGCATAGTGTCCAGCATGTTCAGTTTTGGTGTTTGTGATGGTCAGAGATCCAGTTTAATTTTTTCAGCTTCAGTCTGTCTCTGAATCTTTCATCAGTACCATTATATGGGGAGAAGTTTCCAGCAGCTCTATCGATTTCAGCTATCTAAAACGTTTCATCTCCAAATGTCCACAATATGTTGTCTTCATGTATTTCAGTAACAGCAGTCTGTGGAGTGACTGAATCTCCCTCCATCACTGACACTGACTTCTCTTCATCACTAAACACACTTGAAGAACAGAGTTTTTCACAGATTAATGTTGTGGGCCTTGAACGTGGTAGTTATGTTGCTGTCTATGCAGGGTCAGAAAGCTCTTGAATTTCATCAGAAATATCTTAATTTGTGTTCCAAATACAAATGAAGGTCTTATGGGTTTGTAACTACATGAGGGTGAGTAATTACTGACATTTTTGGGTTAACTATCCCTTTAAAACCACGAAATCCTAATGGAATATGTCCCAAAACACACTACAGGAAACCATTTTTAATGGGCTTAATAGTTAGTAGTTGATGGTTTGTAATAGTTGCATTTGTAGTGGAAACCATTAGAATTTCTGTGATGGTTTCTGTTGTTTTTTCTTTTTCAGCAAGGAAATTATCTCTATTCACCAGAGACAGCAACAGTGAAAGCTTTTGATGACGGTTTTGCTCCAACAATCAGTATTTCATAAACTACAGCATGTTCAGTTCGGATGTTTGTGATGGTCAGAGATCCAGTTTGATGATCCAGCTTCAGTCTGTCTCTGAATCCCACAACATCACCATGAGATGTGGAAAAGAGCTTAGATTTTTTATTGATTTGAGCTATAAGAGTCTCTGAAAGTCCAAACATCCATGTTATCAGATCATCATCATGTATTTCAGTAACACCAGATTCTAGAGAGACTGAATCTCCCTCCATCACTGACACTGACGTCACTGCACCTGAATCAGCAAACACAGCTGAAGAACAAACAGAAAAGATTAAGGCTTTTAAATAACTTGAGGATGAGACCTTGAGACCCTGCGGCATCACTGCATAGAATTGATGTACAGTATAGCTTTCTCCTAGAGTAACAGAGATTCAAGTTACATTTATTGATGCAGCGGCAGACTGTGTTAAGTGACAGCGGTTTACCAAAGTACTCTTGAGCCCATGTGGCTATATTTAACACCACATGACAGTTTCACATGCAATGCCATCTGAGGGCTCAAAGGTCATCTTCACCTGAGGGTTCTCTGAATCTTTTCACAATATTATATAGGGTAGTTGGTGAAAGACCTAAATTGACACTTCTCTCATGAAATTTGGCACAAAGTGATGAGCCATGATCCAGCTTTGCTTGCAAAGACTGAGATGTTCCTTTTATACCCAAACATGATACCCTGACATATTACCAATTCACCTGCTTAGAGTGAACTCTTTTAAAACGGTTGAATTTGGATATTCAATAACCTTTTCATCAGAAAAACTGCATTAATTTAATTTAATTAGATTTTTTTTTTTTAATTGAAATATTATTTGGCCAGTGGAAATGAATGAGATCAAATCTATTCTAAATTATTTTTCTGAGAACTATTTTAAACGTTTTTTATGGATATTTTGATATATTTATTCTAAAACATAGCAAGCATACTGGATGATTTTTAGTAATAAAAATTAATGTGTATGGCACAAATGGTATTTATAGTCCCTATCTCATATTTCCTTAATGTCTTGTACCTTTGACGGAGTTAAACATGGGTGTCACGTGGATGGGATTATGCATAGAAAAGATATGCAGATGAGGTTATGCATAGTAAAACTAGGCGTTGTAAGCTCCATATATGGTGATTTCGGGGAGGAGTCGGGGTGGAGATGCACGTACGCACAATCTTCCCCGACTGGGATTTATAAAGGGATTTTTGCGCAGGTACTGGCGTACGCATGGTTTTATAAATCTGAAAACTTTTGTGAGTACGCAAAATCTAGCTTTTGTGCCTACGTACACTTTTAGGATGAAATCAACGTTGAGTTTTATAAATGAGAACCCAGGATATTAAATATATGCGCCAGTAAAAGGAAATACTGCCGTAATCATATAAAATTGATAGAAAACAGATAAACATCAAATATCTTAAGTTTGAGATTGAAACTAACAAACTTTAGAAGAGGAATACAGAAAGATGTAATCTGTAATCAAAAATCCTGTTCAGCTCATGTGGATCTGATGTCATAAACCAGAACAATGACCAGCCATGCCATTTTCAGAAATGTTGACATACAGGTATAACCGTAAAAAAAGAAATAAAAGATCTTCAAACACCCGCAGAGACGCGTAGGCTGGTCAGTCGGATGAGGGGAATCAGAAACAGAGACACGATGGAGCAATTTATGAAATCCAGATCATCTTCATTAAAGGGGTCATATGATGCGATTTCAATTTTTCCTTTCTCTTTGGAGTGTTACAAGCTAACTGTACAGAAATATGAAGAACACTTTCAAAATAGTTCTGTTTTTACTACTCTTCAATGGTAAGAGATTGATGTCTTACAAGAAGAAACAGCATTCTTCCATCTTAGAAACATTGCCAAGTTACGAAACATGTTACCTGTTTCTGATGCAGAAAAGCTAATTCATGCATTCATGACCTCTAGACTGGACTATTGTAATGCACTGCTAGGTGGTTGTCCTGCATCTTCAATAAACAACAAACAATGACGCTAGTGGCTGTAGCCATTTATCCTCCTTGTTAGTGCGTCCGCCTCCCATGCCGGAGACCCGGGTTCGAGACCCACTCGGAGCGAGAACGAGGTGCGGCGGAGCGGACCCGGGAGAGAGGGGTTACACTGACATTATCAGATGTCACGAGAGTCCAAAAGCATTCATTGCATGGTGAAGCCTATTAGAATGCAGTTAGAATATGCCTCTATAATTCAAATAATAAAAGAAAAATATCCCTGTGTGAGTTTTTATTTTTTAATCTTTAATTGATGTAGTTAAGTAATAGGCCTATCACACAAGAATCAGCAGGTGTGCATGAGCGCAAATGTGAAATTAATTTTATACAGCAGCTCAACAGACGAAGTTAATTGAGTGAGTTACGTTTTCGACACATTTTGTCTTTTTTCCTGTTTTGCAAATGAAATGGTTCCAAACGGAGCCGGAGCCGGAGCTGAGCTGTCGTGCGTCTCACTGCGGTGTATCTTTCCTGAATGAATCTGTTTTTGTCGAATCGTGAGCCAATTAATGATCCATTCATAAAGACAGTCAACTTGCTTCGATTCTAATTGAATCATCCATTTTGAAAGAATCGTTTAAAAAAAAATGACCACTGGTTGTAGTGTTTTATTGGTTGTTTTCTACCTTCTTCACTCCCACTTTTCCACAGCTTTACATGCCCATTTCTGGAGTATTTTTCAAATATAAGGTGTAAAAGACCAGTGCTGAAACAGAGGGGTTTCATGACACTTTAACAACGGAAAAGCAGAGTTATGAAAAAACGCATTTTGTGTAAACGGCCCATAATGCAGAAGCGGTTTGTCCACCAACAGATCAAACCACATTAGATGTACGTAAATCAGTAGTTGTAAAGTGAGATCTGTGAGACTTATATGAGGGAAATATAAAACCTTTCAAACTAGATTTAAAAATAGAGGAAAGAGAGACCTCTTTTTATTTTCATTCGTTCATGTTCACCCAGGAGGAGCTCCAGACAAGAAAGTGTGCTTAAATCCCTCAATCAAATATGAAGATTAGATGGTACAAATAAAGGCAAATAGAAAGTAGTAATCATTAGTATTTATCATGACAAACACTCGCATTTTGAGCATTTTGTTACTTTTGTTCACAAATCAACAGTTGAAATGTGCCAGCAATGAATGAATGCTGATGCAGCAGATTAATATATAAAGCCATTTAAAATACATGAAGATTAAAAAATGATTGAAATAGTTATATGAGAAATTACATCATGTTTCTAATATGAGTTTGATCTTGTTCAGCTCTTCTGGATCTGATGTCATAAACCAGAAGAATGACAGTAGCCACGCCCACCAGAGCAGAGAGGACCAATCGGATCACAGCTTCAGAGAATCTGAGGGGGGGGAACATCAAACTGAGATCAGCTACTAAGAAATGTAAATTAGTTGTAATAAATATGGATTTAATAATTTTAAGGATAAATCAACATCTAAATACTAGATCTTCTTTAAAACTTGAATAAATAAAACAGGTTAAACTGATACCGTAACTCACCGTAGACAGTAACGTTGAAAAGACTGAACACATCTAAGGTATCTAGTAAATACAATCCAGCATCTTCAGTTGTCATGTTTCTGATGGTCAGAGTTCCAGTTTTTTTGTCCAACTTTAGTCTGTTTCTATATCTCCCATTAGCTGCGTTTTTATATTGAGTGACTGAATCGATCAGTACTTCCAATTCTTTATTTAGGACAAAATGCCATTGAATAAAATCCCAAAAATCCAACTGAGTAAAACCAGCGTTTAGAGTGACTGAATCCCCCTCCTTCACTGATATTTCATCTGCATCACCAAACATACACGGAAACAGTGTTCATAATTTGAAATAATAATAAATAAATAAATAAAAAATCACAATGGACACAAAAAAATTGTGTTAAGGATTAATAATTGAATATTTGCCCTAATTAAAATATAAAACAGGTGAAACAAATATTTAACTCACTTTGGGTAGCGAGAAGCATATTCTCGATCACACCGTTGATCTCTTTTCTATAATGTCCACTGTGTTCATTTGTGGTGTTTGTGATGGTCAGAGATCCAGTTTGATGATCCACATTCAGTCTGCCTCTGAATCTTCCATCAGGACCATTATATACAGTGACTTTGCCGGCCAAAATATTCATTTCAGCTATTAAAGTGTCTTTCATTCCAAACTTCCACTGAATCAAATCAACGTTCCTAAATTTAGTAAGACCAGAGTTCAGAGTGACTGAATCTCCCACCTTCACAATCACGGGGATGATGTCATTAGAGTCACCTGAAGAACACAGTTTGTCACAGATTAAAGCTTTTAATTCACTTGATGTTGGTTTGATAAGCTTCACTAAAATACTTTTTTAAATGTGAAATGACAAAAAAAAACATTCAGCAGTAGTACAAAGACAAAAGAAGAAGAACAAAAGGCTGTGGTAAAACGTTTACATATGTTAATGTTAATAATTTTAACAAAATAATAAGGATTGTGATTAGTATTAGAGTGCGTCCTCGAGTCAGTAAAGTTGACAGGTGCTAAATTAGAAACCTTAGTAGCCTATGCTGGTGTGAAACAGACGAAAGTCTGCACAGAAACCACTACTTTAAATCCCATAACAACAGAAACTTTGCCATGGCTAAAGCTGCAGGTACGTATGTATAATGATCCAAGCTTTCTGGAAGGCTAAAATCTGACTAGCTGGAGTGCTCGTATGTTATAAGCATGATATTATTATTTTTTATGCTGATATTGTACTAAAACATAGGCTAATTAAAATATCTAAAAAATATTACAATAAATATCGATAATTAAAAATAATTTTATAGCACTTTGGCTTTAATACAGTGGCCATATGAAAGCCAATTGTTTAATTTAGAAAACAGTCATTTGTAACAACCATTCCACTGTTACAAATTTATATTTAAATTTATGATGCCTAATATTTCTTCACACAAGGGATTATGCTCTTTTGGATCTGATGTCATAAACCAGAACAATGACAGTAGCCACGCCCACCAGAGCAGAGAGAACCAATCAGATCACAGCTTCAATGAGTCTGAGGAATAAAAACACAAAACTGAGATCAGCTCAATGCCGTACCTGAACATTTGGGACAGAGTTGACTGATGTCCAGATGTTGAGTCTGGTTGCTGATGGGATTGTTGAGCACACAGCTGTAGCTGTTTTTATCCTGATATTCCACCTCCAGAGGTAGAGAGAGACTGATGCTGAGATCAGACGCACTAATGCTGGACAATAAACTGTTTCCTTTGTACCAGGAGAGAGTCACATGACTCACATTCACCACTGAACACACCAGTGAACATGATGATGATGATGAAAAACAATGTGAAGAGGTACTGCTGATGACGGGTACAGGCAGACGAGCTGGAAACATGAGAGAATTAAGAGAAATATGAACTTATTTTCAGTTTAGTGTGCTGAGTGAGTGTTTATACGGTCTGTCATTTCAAACTACAAAATGATTTAACAATTCAGTATGTAAATATACAATGAATTAAGAGTACTTGAAGGACAGGACAAATGATCTCTACTCACTGTAGACAGAAACGCTGATTATTTTTGATGAATATAATCCTCCAGTTCTCCGTAGTCTATAACTTCCAGCATGTTCAGTTGTGATGTTAGTGATGGTCAGAGATCCAGTTTGTTTGTCCAGCTTCAGTCTGTCTCTGAATCTCCCGCCAAGAACATCCTCATATACAGTTATTCTGTCATCACGTTTATTGAACTCAACTAAATTAATTAATAGAAAAATCCATTCAATCTGATCATCATCTGTTATTTTAGTGAGACCAGAGTTTAGAGTCACTGAATCTCCCTCCATCACTGACAAGGGCTTCGCTGCATCATCACCAAACACACACAGAGAACAAACAGAAAGAGGGTTTGTCACAGATTAAGACTTTTAAATAACTTGATTGTTTACTAAAGTAAATAGTTTAAAATGTAAATTAGAAATTAATTACATAAAACAACAGAACTGACACAAAATAAGAAAAATTGTGTGTGTATTGTATCTGGTGATTAAAAAATAAAACAGGTGAAACATACCTCCGTGAAGTTGGCCCCCCACCCAACGCAAAACGTCGGCAAAATAGTCTCAATCGTTTGTGCTGGTTTGTGCTGTAAAAATTTTCGTTTGTGCTGCTTTGGTTTTTTAGATATTAAAATAATATTTATAGGTCATTCTGAGGTCACTCAGCCCCCCAACATACTCCAAATTCACCCCAAATAGTCTCGTTCGTTTGTGCTTCGTTTGTGCTGGTAATATTTTCGTTTTCGCTACTGTCGTTTTAAAAGATTTTTTTCCACAGATTGTCAACAGATTAGTCAACGCTGATGGCCATCTCCACAGGCTAATGTACGTGCATTTAATAAAGAAATGCACCTTTTCATATGTACCACATAATTAGAGAAGATTATTATTATTATTATTTTAATTGGTTTGTTTAATAGTAGACATTTCAAGATTTCTATAAATGTATTTCTTGTTTCTGTGAGCCGGTTCATTGTTGTGATGCGCTCCATTCACGGAGACTGCATGAGGAAAGCACATCCAAAAATGACGGAGTAGCCTATTCTAAGTTTTTTCCACAGGAAAAAAAAAATGCGAGAGATTGCGCGGGCGCCTCCATATCATATAGTAAGCGCGATAATACTCCCACAAATACTTGAAATGAGCATATATAGCGATTTTATTATTCATATAAAAATAATAATAATAATAATAATAATACCCTGTTTTGGTCATATTTACTATTAATTGCCCAGCTCCC